GCAGGCTGAGGCTGAGGCAGGCTGAGGCTGAGGCAGGCTGAGGCTGAGGCTGATGCAGGCTGAGGCTGAGGCTGAGGCTGATGCAGGCTGAGGCTGAGGCAGGCTGAGCCTGAGGCCGAGGCTGAAGGCAGACTGATGCTGAGGCTGAAGCAGGCTGAGGCTGAGGCTGAGGCTGAGGCAGGCTGAGCAGGCGAGCCTGAGGCAAGCTGATTGCGGAGACAGGCTGAGGCAGCTGAGAAGGCTTAGGCAGCTGAGGCGATTGCGGGCTGAGCCGCGGCCAGCGGCTAAGGCTGAGGCCGGGGGCTGAAGCAGACCTAGGCTGAGCGAAGCAGCTGAGGATGAGGCTGAGGCCAGGCTGAGCTGAGGCTGAGCAGGATGAGGCCTGCGGGCAGGATGAGGCTGAGGCGAAGGGCTGAGGCAGGTCAGGGCCCCAGCGCTGAGGCTAAGGCCGAGGTGCAGGCAGACTGAGGCTGAGGCTGAAAGCAGGCTGAGGCTGAGGCTGAGGCTGAGGCTGAGGCTGAGGCTGAGGGCTGATGAGGCTGATGCAGGCTTGATGCTGAGGCAGGCTGAGGGCTGAGCGGTGAGGCGATGCATGCTGGCCTGAGGCAGGCTGAGGCTGAGGCCGAAGCCGACGGCAGACTGAGGCTGAGGCTGAAGCAGGCTGAGGCTGAGGCAGAGGCAGGCTGAGGCTGAGGCTGAGGCAGGCTGATGCTGAGGCAGGCTGAGGCTGAGGCTGAGGCTGATGCAGGATGAGGCTGAGGCAGGCTGAGGCTGAGGCCGAGGCTGAAGGCAGACTGATGTTGAGGCTGAAGCAGGCTGAGGCTGAGGCTGAGGCAGGCTGAGGCTGAGGCAGGCTGAGGCTGAGGGTGAGGCTGAGGCTGAGGCAGGCTGAGGCTGAGGCTGTGACTGCGACTACCGTTGCCACTGCGACTGCCATCGCGAATGCGACTACGACTGCGAGAACAGCAGAATTCTCCAACAGGATTCTCATCTGAATATTAAGGGGAATGCTTCCAGATATGCTCCTACACATCGCTGTTAGGTTGCTTTGCCGGGATATGTTTTTTATACCTAACAGCGAAGACTGATAATTAGCATGGTAACGCACTTCGTGGTCTTCGAGTTCCCAGAACTCCATTCCTGGGCATGATTTTGAATGCCCGGAGCCAACTGTAGGCCACTTCGTGTTCTTCGAGTTCCCAGAACTCCATTCCTGGGCATGATTTTGAATGCCTGGAGCCAACTGTAGGCCACTTCGTGTTCTTCGAGTTCCCAGAACTCCATTCCTGGGCATGATTTTGAATGCCCGGAGCCAACTGTAGGCCACTTCGTGGTCTTCGAGTTCCCAGAAATTCATTCCTGGGCATGATTTTGAATGCCCGGAGCCAACTGCAGGCCACTTCGTGTTCTTCGAGTTCCCAGAAATCCATTCCCGGGCCACATTTTGAATGCTGAGGCAGGCTGAGGCTGAGGCTGAGGCAGGCTGAGGCTGAGGCAGGCTGAGGCTGAGGCCGAGGCTGAAGGCAGACTGAGGCTGAGGCTGAAGCAGACTGAGGCTGAGGCTGAGGCAGGCTGAGGCTGAGGCTGAAGCAGGCTGATGTTGAGGCAGGCTGAGGCTGAGGCTGAGGCTGATGCAGGCTGAGGCTGAGGCAGGCTGAGGCTGAAGCCGAGGCTGAAGGCAGACTGAGGCTGAGGCTGAAGCAGGCTGAGGCTGAGGCTGAGGCAGGCTGAGGCTGAGGCAGGCTGAGGCTGAGGCCGAGGCTGAAGGCAGACTGAGGCTGAGGCTGAAGCAGGCTGAGGCTGAGGCTGAGGCAGGCTGAGACTGAGGCAGGCTGAGGCTGAGGCTGAGGCAGGCTGATGCTGAGGCAGGCTGAGGCTGAGGCTGAGGCTGATGCAGGCTGAGGCTGAGGCAGGCTGAGGCTGAGGCCGAGGCTGAAGGCAGACTGAGGCTGAGGCTGAAGCAGGCTGAGGCGGAGGCTGAGGCAGGCTGAGGCTGAGGCTGAGGCAGGCTGATGCTGAGGCAGGCTGAGGCTGAGGCTGAGGCTGATGCAGGCTGAGGCTGAGGCAGGCTGAGGCTGAGGCCGAGGCTGAAGGCAGACTGAGGCTGAGGCTGAAGCAGGCTGCGGCTGAGGCTGAGGCTGAGGCTGAGGCAGGCTGAGGCTGAGGCTGAGGCAGGCTGATGCTGAGGCAGGCTGAGGCTGAGGCTGAGGCTGATGCAGGCTGAGGCTGAGGCAGGCTGAGGCTGAGGCCGAGGCTGAAGGCAGACTGAGGCGGAGGCTGAAGCAGGCTGAGGCTGAGGCTGAGGCAGGCTGAGGCTGAGGCTGAGGCAGGCTGAGGCTGAGGCAGGCTGAGGCTGAGGCCGAGGCTGAGGCAGACTGAGGCTGAGGATGAAGCAGGCTGAGGCTGAGGCTGAGGCAGGCTGAGGCTGAGGCAGGCTGATGCTGAGGCAGGCTGAGGCTGAGGCTGAGGCTGATGCAGGCTGAGGCTGAGGCAGGCTGAGGCTGAGGCCGAGGCCGACAGCAGACTGAGGCTGAGGCTGAGCAGCAGGCTGAGGCTGAGGCAGGCTGAGGCTGAGGCTGAGGCAGGCTGAGGCTGAGGCTGAGGCTGAGGCTGAGGCTGAGGCTGATGCAGCTGCTGAGGCAGGCTGAGGCTGAGGCCGAGGCTGAAGGCAGGCTGAGGCTGAGGCTGAAGCAGGCTGAGGCTGAGGCTGAGGCAGGCTGAGGCTGAGGCTGGCTGAGGCTGAGGCTGAGGCTGAGGCTGAGGCAGGCTGAGGCTGAGGCTGTGACTACGACTGCCGTTGCCACTGCGACTGTCATCGTGCGAGAACAGCAGAATTCTACAACTGGATTCTCATCTGAATCTTAAGGGGAATGCTTCCAGATATGCTCCTACACATCGCTGTTAGGTTGCTTTGCTGGGATAATTATTTCCCCCGTGGAAGCGGGACCCCCTGGGTTCCTGGGCGCGCCCCAGAAGTTCTTTCATTCCGGAAGGGCCCCCCGGGGTCCTACCTTGGAGTCGCTCGGGTGATCTTTCGTCCGCATCTTGTTCCTTCCAGGGAAACAGCAACATGGATGAAGGTGAAGTGGTAACAGTTTCTCACTTTGGGGGAGCTTCAGTCGGCTAAGAAAGCGGATTTCTTCCCACCTCGCCCAGGTCTCAGATCCGCGGATTTGTAGTCCATTTCAGCGCTTGCCCGATCTTCGTGCTCTTCCTCTTCCTCCCTGTGCCCAGGTGATGCTGAACATCTCTTGCCCGCAGAATGTCTACCCCGGCGACAGGAAACACCCGCCCGCAAAACGCGCCGCTTGGCCAGTATTCTCGTAGCCGGCAGCGAGCAGTAGATGGGACTCATTTGACCAGCTGGTCGACTGGTCGTGGGACGCTGGGATGGCAGATCGTTCAAGCGAAAAGATGCTTGTTCAAGCGAAAAGCTTGTTCGTTCAAGCGAAAACGCAACCAGCGAAAACTACGTAGATAGACACAGAGAGACACAGAGAGACACAGAGAGACACAGAGAGACACAGAGAGACACAGAGAGACACTGAGAGACACAGAGAGACACAGAGAGACACAGAGAGACACAGAGGGACACATACAGACAAGGACACAGAGGAACACAGAGGGACAAAGAGGGACACAGAGGGCACAGAGAAACACAGAGGGACACAGAGAGACACAGTAATACAGAGTGACACAGAGAAACACAGGGGGACAAAGAGGGTCACCCGGGCTGGGCGCCCGACGGAGCCGGGAACCGGGATTTGGGGCTTTCCCAGGCTCGATCTCTCCAAAATCCCGGTTCCCGCCATCCTGGCGGTCGCCGCTCGCGGGGGCAGGGGCTCGGGGCGCCCGACGGAGCCGGGAACCGGGATTTGGGGCTTTCCCAGGCTCGATCTCTCCAAAATCCCGGTTCCCGCCATCCTGGCGGTCGCTGCTCGCGGGGGCAGGGGCTCGGGGCGCCCGACGGAGCCGGGAACCGGGATTTCGAGCTTTTCCAGGCTCGACCTCTCCAAAATCTTTGTTCCCGCCATCCTGGCGGTCGCCGCTTGCGGGGGCAGGGGCTCGGGGCGCCGGGAGGATCCGGGAACCGGGATTTCGGGCTTTCCCAGGCTCGATCTCTCCAAAGTCCCGGTTCCCGCCATCCTGGCGGTCGCCGCTCACGGGGGCAGGGGCTCGGGGCGCCCGACAGAGCCGGGAACTGGGATTTCGGCGTTATCCAGGCGGATGGCGGGAACCGGGATTTTTGATATTCCTGTCCGGAACGTGTGGAAATCCCGGTCCCCGCCAGTTGTTGGGCCCATGGGCGTGGACATTTTGTCCTGCTTGCGCTGCGCAGGAATCACAGTTCCTGCTAGTCGCGGGGCGAGGGAGTAGCCGAGCCGCGGCTCCTGTGCCCCACGCTGCGTGCTCGAGGAGGCGGAGGAGGAGGAGGAGGAGGAGGAGGCGAAGGAGGAGGAGGAGGAGGAGGAGGAGGAGGAGGTGGAGGAGGAGGAGGCGGAGGCGGAGGCGGAGGCGGAGGCGGAGGAGGAGGAGGTGGAGGCGGAGGAGCAGGAGCAGGAGGAGGAGGACGAGGAGGAGGAGGAGGAGGAGGAGGAGGAGGAGGAGCAGGAGGAGCAGGAGGAGCAGGAGGAGTAGGAGGAGCAGGAGGAGGAAAGGGAGAACAAGGGGGATATCAGAAAAGAGGGGGTCAGGATGAGGATCAGTGAGGAATCTTCAGCGCTTCATCCCTTCATCCCTTTTCGCGCGCACGCGCCGAAACGATTTTGCTCGAACGGCCGCGGAATTCGCGCGAACTATTTTCGCGCGAACGGCGCACTCTCGGACGCTGGGAAGACAAAGTAATGTAAGTTACGTAGCACCCCCCATTTGCAGACAAGAGCGAGGGGGCGGTCGCGGAGTGAGTCGCGGGCTGGGTCGCGGGATAGGTCGCAGAATAATGTCAGCTTGTGATTAACACATGGGTGCTCCCCCCCCGGGGGTTGATGAATAGACCCCGCGGGGCGCGACATTTTGTTTCTAATCACGCGCACGCGCGCGCAAGGGGGGGTGGGGAGGAGGAGAAAGGAGGTCGCCCCGCCGAAGGGCCAGTCTTCAAAACATGGCCGCCTTCGGCGCCACGAGGCGCTTGGAAAATCAGCGACGTGAGCTGCTTGGCGAATCCCCACTTTGCCACGCCCCCCTTTCGTCCAGCCCGCCTTGCCCGCAGGCCCGCGGGGCAACTGGCGCCACCCTGGCGCATCGGTTCGACAGAAAAGGGGGGCGCCCTGGCTCGCCCTTGCCTCTCGCCCCCACCCTCTCCCCCAATCTATGCTGTCTGTCGCCTTTTCGCTGGCGGCCGAGCGTCGGCGCTAATCACCAGCGCCGCGGCCGTTGATTTTCAATCTGGCGGGCGCCACCCCGCCTTTCGCCCGAGCAGGGCAATTATTGTTTTAAACGCGTGCCCCCCGTCGATTTGTTAACCACAAGCTGACACTACGTCGCTGGCAGGTCGCGGGCGAGGACGAAGACAACGAACGAACATGCAGAATTCGCCGAACGGAACGCGACGTCACCCAGGGACAATGAATGACCGCTCGGCACCCTTATTGCACTTTGTGACCATAGCGCTTGTGGCTCAAACAGGGAAGTGGAAGCAGCACGGGGCCACCCAGGACGACCTGAACAGGAAGATCGTACTTTCTAGGCTGCCGTCGACGACGTTACGGGGCGCGTGGCTGGCGGCTGTGGAAACGAAAGATCCCACATCCAGGCCTTCATCAGGTGGCATCCGGAACAGCGCCTAGTATGACATCAACGTTCGGCACAGGGTTGCAGGAACGTGACGTTGTTATGTTACGATCGACCGGGGCATTCATAATAATTTGACAATTTACTAAAAAGACTTTCGTGATTGGGGGCCTGCTGCGCAACACTCTCCGAGGCGGAACGCTGGGTTGCAAAAGTGCTCTCGAAATCGAATAATGATTTGCCATCGAACAACTACCAAACGGCCCCCCCCCCAACACAACATTTTAAAAGGCATGCTTTTTCATATATCAAATCCACATAAAATATCGGAGAGGGCCGTTCGAATTCTTCAAACAACACGCGCCATATAGATTCCCAAGCAAGGGAGCAGTCGCGTCTGGTGCGACGCGGACGCTCCAATCGAGCAGAGCTCCTGAATTTTATTGCTGTGACTTCGGTATCTCCTCACACGGTGGGGATTTGACAAGACGTCATTGAAATTCAACGGGGATTCCGGAATGTTGGAAGCTAAGGGGGTACACGCTATCAGAGTACATGTTCCCTAATCAGCGTTTGCCTCTGAAGGGGTCCTAGCAGAAGTTGGAAGATTTGGCGAAATTGTCCAGCCGATTTTGATAGCAGGCTGGGTTCCCGGTTCTAGGTTCCCGGGCTCCCAGTTACTGGTTCCGGGCCGATTTCGGTGGGTTTTGGGTTCCCGGGCTCCCGGTCGATCTCCTCAGCGCAAACCATCCATTGATTAGGGTTTCTTGTTGGTGAACTGGTAGATTCAAAACTAAACACAATGGTTGGGTATTGATTAGAAGCTTGGGGAAAGTTGCAGCAAGCCTCATACTGGGATGATATGAAGGAGATTTCCAAGCGTTTGGAGATGAGTGCGGCCAGTTCGTCCAAAGTGGCGGGTAAAGGGCAAAAACAAAGTTTGAGGGTGCCAAGGGCGCACGGGTTTCTTTTTCACCCTTTCGGAAAGCAACTTGCCACGATATCGCCGTGCACTGCAATGTTTTGGGCCGAGCGATTTGGGCAGAACTACCAACCGTTCTGCCCCAGGCGACAATTTTCCAGCCAACATTCTTAACACACAACTCTCTGATCTCAGAGTTGGTCCTTAGGATGTCCGTGGACCCACAGGGCCTAAGACGGTCGAAATAACTAAGCACATGGAACATGAAAACATTAGGTGTGTTGTGCATGCAAAAAACACGAAAGTCGGAAGCGGAAATTAATGACCAGGATGGGTACGCAATCGCTCTGTCAGGGCATCATACAGACGACCAAACTTGGGCCGGAGTTGGCACTGTAATAGCACCGCACGTTCGTAAACATATTCGGTCGTACAAGCAAGTATCCGACAGGCTTTGCAATTGAGATTCGCATGGATGGTAACGCGATCGCCAACATATTCGTAGAGCAGGAACTGAGGGGAAAGTTTCTTTCCAAGAATCGGGCGCATTGATTGTTGACCCTGTTTCCGAGTCATCGCATCATATTGTGGATTTGGCCCTTTGTCCGCACATTGCATTCTGGTTTCTAGAGCGCGTCGCGAGTCACTGGGGGGCGACGTTGGCGACTGACCATGACCTGGTGGCGCGCTCTTTGGTCCCAAGGCATCGGCCGCCAATCGTCGACGCGCCGACAACTTCGACAGGGCGGCGGTGCGCAACGCGAGCGTCCGAGAATCTTCCGCGAACGCATTCAACGCCCACGGTGGCGAAGCCGGCAATTCGCAACAAACGCGGGGGAACACGAGGAATGCGATCGCCCAGGCTCAGACGGCCCCGCCTCGCCGGGAACGCAAGATGCACAAACCGCGGGTTACGCGGCGCACCGTGGACCTGATGGCGCGTCGGAGTGCGGCGCGATCCAATAGCGACCCAGTGGAAGGGGGGAGATTGTTAAAAGAAATGCGGAAGTCTGCCAAACTGGATAAACCTGCTCGGACGGACCAGCACACCGTTGCCGGAGATTGGGTTTCGCTCAAACGCGCGCGCCGGCCCCGCGCAAACAAGGGCGGCTGGGAAATTTGGGCGGCGACGTCGTTGGCAGCGCAGACAGAGTTAACGCCATGGCTAATAATTTCGAACAAATGTCGTGGAAGGCGTGCCTTGCAACGCTGCGCGCCATCCGACGGGGCCGGCGCTGCCGATCGCAGTGGGAGATTTCGCGCCGCGCGAGGCGGGGGCGTCGACGTCCAAATTCAAGCAAGGAAAAGCGGCGAGGCCGGGCGACGTCCCAGCAGAGCACTAGAGAGCATTGTCACGGGATCCCAAAGGGCTTGGCACCATCACGAAACAAATCAACCAGCGTTGGCGCCAAAAAAGAAATCCTGGAAGACTGGCGGCGCGCAGTCGTCGCCGCAATCTACAAGAACAAGGGCCTGGTGGATCGCCGCGACAGCTGCCACCTCATCAGTCTGCCGCGCGTCGCGCACTGTTTGCGAGTTCACTGCTAACGAGATCGCGACGAGCACGGGCCGATGATCGATTGACTGGAACGCACCGTCGATTCAGACGAAGAAAGGCGCGACCGACGCCGTCCACGCCGCCCGCAGACATGTCGAACTAGCACATGCCGATCGCGATGGCGCCGCAGCGCTCGACCAGCAAAAGGCTTTCGACTCCATGAATGCGCGGGCTCTTTTCGATGTCTTTTGCGCGCGTCGCGCGCCCCCATCATGCACTGCGATTGATTGGGAACGCATGCGGCCCCCGTCGGTCGGGCCCTGGAGTTCCGGAAAACGGGGGCAATATTCCGGCGCATCACAAAAGCGCCCACTATCGCCAATTATGTCTGCGATGGTCATGGTCGCGCCAGAAGCGCGGGGGCGCATTTTGTGGACGACGTTGCTCGAGCATTGTCGTCCAGAAGCTTTTCGGTATTCCTGTGCTCAGACGACGCAGTCCTGGTTGGGAGCAACGAGCGACGCGCGCGACAGATTTTGAACGCAATCGCACACGTTGGGGCCAATGTGGGCATGGAGCTGCGTTGCGACTAGTTTCACTTGCTCCAGATAAATTGCGATTCGCGCATTACCGATCCCGCCGGGAAGCTCATTGGCCCGCCCGCGTATACGAAGTGCCTGGGCACTTGGGAGCTCCACTGTGCGACGTTGAGAACATAACGGAGGAGTTCGGCAGGTGGTTGGGCGCTGCGCGGGGGAATGTCAACGGCCTGCGCAGACGTGGGAACACGTGCCATTCAGCGCGAAGTGAAACATTGGACGTGTTCGGGGCAGTTAGCACAACCAAAGTTATGCATGATATGAGCAGTGCCTGGCTGACCAAAGCTGGTAGGCGCAGGTTCGATGCGTTCCATGCCCAGCGTCTGCGCGCAATTTTGGGTATCAAACCATCGCGCGTGTCAAGAGTGCCCAACAAAACCACATTGGAAAAACACGTGACAAATACCGTACACTGCGCAGCTCTTGAAGTTGAAGAGTGAATCGGCGTGGTTTGGAAAAGTTTGTCGCAGCAACGATGCGGATATACTGAGACAGCTCACTTTCATGCTTGCAGTGCGCGACCAGTACCAAACAGCGTGAAACGATCTCGTGGGATACCGAGAAATTGATGGACGAAGTGATTGCACGACAAAATATAGGACTGCTTCCCATCAGAACGACACCTACTCGAAGCCACCATGCACGAAAAGGATTGGAACGAGCTCGCGTCAACCCACACACAAGGATACATGCCCGTGAGCCTTGGCACGCCGCCAATTCATGCCATTCAACTTCTTCGGTCCTTTCTCTCTCCTCCTCCTCCTCCCTCCTTCTGGCGGTACAGGCTGCGCTGAGCTTGTTGTTTCCCCACCCACGCGCCAGACGCCGTATGGCTTTGCAGTTCAGTGCAGTGCGGCTGCACTAGACTCCGGCACCCCAGGACCAAGATGACAAACCATCGCATTGCAACGTTGAAAGGTGGGAGGGGGATTTTGCAAAGCTCGGAATACGCTTCATTCACCGTGGTCGATTGTCAGTGAAGTTTGCAATCCATTGCATTATTTTGTCCATCCGCTGGAGCACGTTGCGTTGGAGACCGCGCCAGATGCGGGCAACCTCGTGGGCACGCAGAGGGGTGCCCCCGAGGCTCATGCCGGATTGCCCACAGGAGTACAAGCCCAGATATTGATGAATATTGCCAGCGTCCTCATTGAGGGGATGTGGATTCAACCGTTTTGGTTGCCAGTCAGGTGCAAGGATGATGATGATGATGATGATGATGATGATGATGATGATGATGCTGATGCTGATGCTGATGCTGATGCTGATGCTGATGCTGATGCTGATGCTGATGCTGATGCAGCTGATGATGATGATGATGATGATGATGATGATGATGATGATGATGATGATGATGATGATGATGTTTAGGAGGAGGAGGAGGAGGAGGAGGAGGAGGAGGAGGAGAGGGAGGGGATCGAATGGTCGAGGCCGGCTTCGACTCATCTCTTCCCTTCTGCTGCATTCGACCCCTTCCTTTTTCGTCATTCGCATATCTCGCTCACCATATTGCCCTCCCTCCCTCCCGTGGTCCTCATTTCACTTCGCCCTTGTGACTCTCCGCCTCTCGTGTCCCCGCCTCACTCCTCCCGTTTCCCTCCCGTCCCTTCTCTTCTGTCTTTCCCTTCTTCCTACTCTGGCACCCGCGTCCATCTCTCCGACTTCGGTTTTTCTGGCTCCCGCTCCCAAGCCCAGCCCGTTTTTTCCGCGATTCCGCCCAACGAGCGACCAGCCAATACATTCGTCGAGTTCGTATTTCCCACGGGGTTTTGCCGACCATCAACAACGCCCCCCCCCCATTGGGCGACAAGTTGTTCCAGCTTCGCCCCCTCGGGTGCACAAGCCCCCGTCGGGGGCGAACTCTGACGTGCCCCGCGCCGCCCGCTGCTGACTCCCCCCCCGATTCACGGGGTGCCCCCCTCCCCCCCCCTTTCTTCCACGTCCTCGTCCTCCGCTCCCCCCCTCCTCTCGCCCGCCTCTGCGTTCGCCTCCTCTTGCCCCCCATTCTACGTCCGTTCTCCTCCCACCCCTCTCCAGGTCCCACACCTCCCCATATTCATCCTAGCCCTCCTCTTGCTCTCTCTTCTTCTTTCTCTGTGTTGGTTTCTCTCTCTCTCTCTCTCTTTGTTTTTTCTTTCTTTTTTTTGTTCTCTCTCTCTCTCTATAAATATATATGTGTACCGTCACCTTATTATCCTGGTTTATCTAAGGATCCCAGATCCGAAGTCGGGGATGAGGAGGAGGACAACGTAGCTGGTCTGTCAGGATGTACATGACCAAGAACTTGGCCGACGGGAGATGGAGCATAAAGAACGTGACTTCGCCAGTTTCTTCTCTGCATGTGCACCGTCAGTTCTGTCGGCGGCAGCATATTGCGCGAGGTGTTAGTACGGTATGCAGTGCCGTTTCATTTGGGCATCTCGTATTGCATTGATGGTGACGCGTATGTGCATGATTGTGCGTCGTCCAGCAGCCTCTTGAGTGCCAGAGGCGCATCAATCTTCCTTACGTGCGTGTATATGTGCGTCGATCTCGACTCGTTCACACACAGCTCTTGTTAGTCTTAGCCCATGTGTCGAGTACATGTGTGCGGCTAGTTAGTGCTTTTTAGTTTGGACGATGTAATGTTGGAGGATCGTATGGTATGGTGGTGATGGTTAGTGATGCGTGTACGTGTACGTGAGTGTGTCTGAATTGCATTCAACACGTTTGGGTGCCATCCAGCCAGCCCAGAACAGGAACGTTAAGATGTGGCGTGGTCATAGTTCCATGTGTGGGCCGATCCCGAGTTTGTATCAGTGTGTGTTGAGGTTGTGCATCTAGATTGAGCGGAAATGCAGTGGAGGTAGTGCGCAACGAGTTGCCGAAAGTCGTGTTGGAGAAGTCGGGTATGGTCATTACGATGAGTATATTGCTGCGCTGTTGCTACAGACCATTCGTATTTCATTGATGTGTTCGATCATGGTAGTGGAGAGTTGTTTTGTTGTATGAGCGCTTTCACGTGCCATCGAAATTGTTGGCGTTCACGTGGAGTGTCAGACTGATGATATCCATGCGATAAGTTGCTTTGGATGCAGTCTTCTCTCGATTGGTGAAGTCGTCACGCATCTCCACCAGCCCACCCAGCAGCGATGCCCAGGCGAGTGGTCGTCACCGCTGTAGCAGGGCACGCACGGGTGACAGCAAGGGGGGGCAGCAGACACATTGAAGCTCGGGTCAGCCCGAGCAGCCCCCGTGTTATTGTGCGGAGCCCGTTGGAGGCGTCTGAGAGCCGTCTTGGGGCGTCCTTGGAGTATCGGCGGCGAACGAGGGGGGGGGAAGGGAGAAGGGGCGGGCCTTCTCCGAAGGCTCGGAAGGCCTCCAGCCTTCTGATACGTTTTCTAAGCCTTTCCAAGACACAGAGAATCTCTCAGCAGGCGCGAGGGCTTCTGAGAAGCATCGCCTCCTTCTGAGAAGGCCTGCTCACTTCCCCCCGGGCGCGCCGCCGAGAGTAGTGTCGATCGCTTCGGGGCCCATTTGGGCTCTTTTGAGGCCCTTTTTTGAGGGAAGCCCGTCTTGCTTCGTCTGGGGCCCTTGGGGGCGGGACTGGACGCCACCGACCAAAAAAGAAAGAGTCCTCAGTTAAAGCTTCATGTCTGAAGCCAGAACAAGTATGTAGTCCTGTGAAAGCTCCTTGAGACGCTCTTGGGGTACTCGTGCAGCTTTGGGGGCCGTTGGGAGCCCCCCTGCGGGGTTCTCTTGGGTGTTCTTCGGGCCATCTTGGAGCCCTCCTGGGCCCTTATGGGGGCTCTTTTGGGCCATCTTGAGGCTTTGGAGGCCCATCGGAAGCAACAGGGAGCGAAGGCAACAAAAACGCTTCAACGATGTTGTCCTCTTGGGGGCATGGATGATCATGAATGGGAGGAACCGTAACCACCTCAAGCTGTCTGAGGCCGTTTTGGTGCCATGCTGGAGGCTCTCTCGAGCCATCTGATAGGCAACACTGCTTGGGCTGTCTGGGACCATCTGGGAGCCATCTGGGGCCACGTTGGACGCAATGACCGCTCGTTGGGAGGCGGGAGGTCCAGGCCCCCAGTGATGGGGGAGGGGTAATTACGAGCACACCCGTTCCCGAGAGGGAAGAGGGAGCTGTTTCGGAAGAGCTGATCTGCTGAACCAGCCCATAAGGCTGGTGGGATTCCTGATTGATGGTACCTTGGTGCAAATCGCGCAAACGACGAGTGCCGATTTCGTCCGGCGTGCAATGGCAAGCGGGCCGGCCTTGCGATGTTCATGATTCGGGCTTGCCACGCTCAATCGAAGAGGCCGTGCGTCAATGCCGCAAGTCGCATCGGTATTTGCGGCAGGAGGATTGTTCTGCGACGCTTGCACGTGTTGAGAAGCTCAGCGTGGCCAGATGCTTCTTGTGTGTCCGGGGCTCGCTTCGACCACGTCGGCTCGATTGGGCACAGCTCGATTCGGTCCTTCTGGTCCAGGTTCGCCTGAGAGAGCGTCGTGACTTGACGTTGCCGCTTCCTACGCGGCGAGGAAGAACAGGAGGGGAGAAAAACTTGCGTAGGAATCGGGAGGGGGGAGGGGGGGAACCAAGACGTTTCCCCCAAACCGACCCCGACACATTCACAGTCATTCATATGATCGTTGAAATCTCTCTCGCAACTTGCAACAACATTGAGAAGGCCTTACGGCCAGTGCCGCCGATCCTGGAGGACGACCCCCATGATGAAGGTGACAGCCGGATGTGTTCGGGAACGTTGGGACCAGACGCCACGCAGAGTTTCCCTGTTCCCAGGAGCACAGTTTGGCCAATATATATATATATATATACATGCCTCTGAGCTCTCACAGCCGCTGGGAGAGGAAAAGGGCAGGAATCAGGAGGAGGACGAGGAGGAGGAGGAGGAGGAGAAGGCAGAGAAAGAGGAGGACAACAAGGAGGAGGAGGAGGAGGAAGAGGAGGAGGAGGAGATCTCTTGGGAGCCTTTTCTGGGCTCTGGGAGCCTCCTCAGGCTTCACGGTGGCCTCTTGCCGCTATCCGAGACCGTCTTGGAGGTATATTGGGGCGATTTGTTTAGGTCAGACGGAGTTATCTTCGCCGTCTTTGAGGGCATGTTTTTTGGGGCGGCAATGCAGCGCCATTCTGACAATTTGGGAGGCGAGCTTGGTCGTCTTTTGGAGAATTCTGTGGGGGCCCTCTGGGGGCTGCTCTCTTGGGGCGTTCGAGCGATTCCAGGCCCATCTTGGAATATCTTGGAATATCTTGGAATATCTTGGATACTGTTGGGGACCTTCTGGGAACCCTTTTGGAGCTCTCTGCGGGCTCTCTTGGAGGCTTCTTGGAGCTCTTTCCCGGATCTCTGAGAGTCCCAGGGGACTTGAAGAGGGACCCCAAAAGGTACGAAGAGGTTTTAAAAGTACGAGGGCCGCAACAGCCCGCAACAGTGCCATACCAAAGGTTCTTGGTATGACACTTTTGAGGGCGTGCCTGGAATTCTGGGGGGCCTCTGGGGGCTCTCTGGGGGCGCTCGGGCGATCTCAGGCCCCTCTTAGATTATCAAAGGCCTACGGCAAATAATCGCCGCCCCCCATCTTTAAGGATAAGTTTATGTGGCCAAACGTTTGAGCAAAGTTTGGCCACGCTATTGGACCTTGCGTTCCCCCAGCCGTTGTGGAAGCCCTTCGAGGAACACGTGGTGGAGGCAGAGAAGGATGAGGAGAGGGAGGACAAATTTGGATGAGAAGAAGGATGACGAGATTTTTTGGGAGCTTCTTGGGTCATTCTTGAGGCCTGCTGGGAGCTTCTTGGGGCCTCTTGGGGCCTCATTGGGCCCTCGGGGGCCTTTGGGGGCTTCTTGGGGGCCTCTTTGGCCGTCTTACGGCTTTCCTGGTCCGTCTGGCGCCGTTGGATGCCGTCTTGGGAGCCTCTGTCTGGGCCGTCTTGGGACCCTCTTGGGGCGCTTCAGGGCCTTCTTGACGGTCATCTTGGGTGGCTTCGAGGCCTTTGGGGCCGTCATGGGGCCCTTTGGAGGCCGTCTTGGAGGCCTCTTGTACCGTCTTGGGCCGTCGGAAGGCGGAAAAGAAGGAAGTGCCAAAATCCCCCCAACAAAACCAAAAGAATATCAAGGATTTGGGCCTCTACGGGCCGTCCTAATTGACCTCTTGGAGGCTTCTTGGGCCATCTTCGGGGCCTCTTGAGCGATTCTTGTGCCGTCTTGGAAGCCATGGTGGCCGTCTTGGGGCTCACTTGGACCGTGATGGAAGCATCTTGGAGGCCATCTTTGGCCATCTTGGCCGTCTTCGATGCATATTGGGGTCCATCTTAGGCCATGCAGGAGAGAGAAAGGCAACCATCCAGGTAAATTGGCGGTGTTTCCGGATGACCGGCGCAATGGACCTGAGCCCCAGGGGGAGTTATAAAAAGAACCAATACCCATCTGAAATTCAGCACGCCGGGCACCCCTGTGGCAAGACCACAGGGGGCAGCGGATCTAGTGGCCTGCGGCCCATCCCGCCACCGTGCCTGAGTGGGTCAGAATCCTCATGGATGCTTCTTGGGATCTCTTCGGAGGGCTGTCGGGGGCCCCTGGAGGAAGTTTGGAAGCCGCTTGGGAGCCTCTTGGGAGCGTCCTGGGGCCTCTTGGGGGCCTCTTGGGGGAGCCTTCTGGGGCCTCCTGGGAGCCTCTTGGGGCGGTGCTTCGTGTTCGCCCTCTTGGGCCCTCTTGTGGCGTTCTTGGGGCCTTCTCGGAGGCCTCTTGGGCCGTCTTGGAGGCATTTGGGGTCGACTCGGCGCCATCTTGACGGCCTCGTGGGCCGTCTTGTGCCGATGTGTGGGGCCGCTTGGGATTTTGGAGGTCGGGAAACCGCAAAGGCAGATCCGTCAAAATATGTTTAAAACCACAAGAAATTCAATACATGTTGCCTCTTGGGGCCCTCTTGGGAGTGCTCTTGGAGGCCTCTTGGAGGCGTCTTGGGCCGTCTTGAGGCCATCTTGGGCGTCTTGGAGCAATCTTTCGGCGACTCTGGGCCCTCTGAGGCCCCTCTTGGAGCATCTTGGACCTCATTTGCCCAATGAGGTCCAATTCGCTCGAAGGCGGCCCGAAAAGGGAAGAGTGAACCGCATTCTAACCTGGGACTCCCCCCCGGGACCCCCCACCGGAAGCCACCCCAGGATCTTTCACCGGGTGGGGAAGGGCAGGGGTTTCCCGTCGACTCAATTACGAGTTCGATTGGGACTTGGCTCAGCTCACTTCGAGTTGATGGGCTCGTCGCGCCACAGAGGGTCGCGGGAGAGTCTCCGGGAATGGAATGAAATGGAATGGAACAGAATGGAATGGAAGGGCAAATCGAATGAAAGATCTTCTCTTAGGAACACCCCGGGACGACGGACCCAGAGCTCCCCCTCACACACGCCGACAGGGTCGGCAGATTTCACTGGCTTCACCCTGCCAACATTTACCACACTTCTTTGCGCCGCCGCGGCGGCACCTGCCAGGGCCCACTTCGATCCGATCGGTCCGGCTCGATGTCGAGTTCGGCCAGCTCGATGAGAATTCGACTCCGATACTCCAACGATTCGATGCGGACCGATGCATGGCGTTGCTGTGCATCCTGGCGAAGCCGATCCGACTCGATTTCGACTCCGTGCCGATGCAGTCCGATCCGACGCACATTCCGATTCGATTCGATTTCCCGATTCGATGCCGATTGATTCTGTCTGCTGAGAATGCCTAGGCGTCCAGCCCCGCAATTTCCCATGGTGGTTGGGCTCAGCGCGGGCATTTCTTCCTTTATACTTGTATTCATGCCCCCGCCCTCCTATCCCTAAACCCAACAGTAGGCAGCCTGTAGGCACTGTGGTCCAATCATACTCGCTCTCCCGCCCTCTCCGCTTTGCCGTCTGTCGTAATTTGGGAGTGCATTTCCGTCCTCGCCGTCCTCGCCTTCCCCCGTGATCAGATCTCGATCGGTTCCTTGTGCTCTCTCTCCATTCCTCTTCCTCTCTCTCTCTCTTGTGGTTTCTCTTTCTATATCTGCATATATACATACGTCATACGTACATGTACGTATGTGTATAAAGCAGTTGTGAAAATATGTGTAAACATGTCTAGTTTGATACATCTGTATATATATATATGTATACACAGACATGCATGTATTCTACATACATGTACAGGTGTCTCTCTCTCTCTCTCTGTCTCATTCTCTCTCACTCTCTCTGCTTAACCCGTAAGTGCTTCGCCCTCTGCCGCAGGCCCCATCTCTATCATGATGGAATGCCTGGGTGCCGACTTGAAGCAATATCGCAACCTCATGCGGGAACGGCCAGCAATCGCGACATCATTTATGAGGGATCGCGGCCTCCAGGGCACGAGCCTAGTATGATTTGCGAGGGATCGTTGCCTCGGGAGCGCGAATCTGGCGAAAAATGCAGAAAGGATTCTGGCCTCGTGAGCGCGAATCTGGCAAAATGTGCAAGGGATTCTTGGCTTCGGGAGCTTGGCATGATTTACCATGGGGTCTGGCCTCGGGAGCGCGATCCTGGCGTAATTCACAAGTTTCCCAAATTTTGCTTGCACAGCATACACTGCACGACCTATATTGCAAAACATACATCGAACTACGTATATGGCAGAAAACACGTATTGCACACCATATATATTGCACCACGTAATTTCTCTTTTGTAAATAGGAATTATCATCCCCCCGCCGGGATTATCAGGCCAGCCTCACGCAGTGCAATTTACATGTCATTATGCCCCATGTTTCACTTCACATCTGAATCAATTTCATTCCAGCCAGCGTGGTTTTGCAAACCAAGTTGCGGGCGGGTGGCTGGGATGATTGCGCGAGTAGTGGAGCTGGCAGTTTGAAATTCGGCAGGGCGAGCCGCACCACATAAATTGCATGCACCACATAGGTTTGATCAGAACGATCCGGGCGAAGGGCTCAGCCTTGCGCAGTTGCGAGGACTGTTGTTGTGAGTGTCGCCTTCGGTGGATGTCTGCATGGGGCCACGAAGCGCGCGAAGGGCGTGCCGAGATGGGGGGAGGCCGCTACGCGGGTGGGGGGTGTTCCGAAATAGCGCGCTGGTGCCATGCGAACCCTTCCACGGGGGCCTTAGGTGGTGCTCCCGATGGACCGCGCAACGTGTGAGGGATGTGCCGACATGGCGGCGGTGCCATGCGAACCCTCCTTTTGGGGTGTGCCGAGACGGGGCGGCGGTGCCATGCGAACCCTCCCACTGGGGCCCCAGGTGGGGTTCCCTATGGGTCCACTCAGCGTGTGAGGGGTGTGCCGACATGGCGGTGGTGCCATGCGAACCCTTCCCCTGGGGTCCCAGGTGGAGCGGCCACGAAACGTGTGAGAGGTGTGCCGAAGTGGGGCGGCGGTGCCGTGCGAACCCTCCCACCGGGGCCGCAGGTGGGGTTCCCTACGGGTTAGCGAAGTGTGTTAGGGGTGTGCCGAAGTTGGGCGGCGGTGTCATGCGTGCCCTGGCATTACGTGGAGCCACACACCTATGGAGCCACGAAGCGTGTGAGGGGTGTGCCGAATGGAGCGGCAGTGCCACGCGAACCCTCCCGCTGGGGTCCAGGTGGAGCGGCTACGCAGCGTGTGAAGGGTGTCCCGAAATCATTGAACATTTCCGGTTTCGTATGGATGTACACAGACACCACGGTCTCGCATCAGGAATGTTCAACAAACATTTGCGCCCGCGCTCCTGCGATTTTGGGGAAAAGCCATAGGTTATCAGCATTGACATCAGCTGCGACCAAACGTGCCCCTCGCGCGAGCATGTCGGAATTATTCGAACGCCTTGTCGCGCCTGTTGTCGCAAGATTCCCTTGCAACAGATGGGGCGAAATGCACGCGCGCGCGCGCGTCGCGCGTGCATTCCGAAATCCTCAACAAAATTAGGTTTCGAATGGGATTCAAATCGAGTGCCTGGGAAATATTTTAAACAACGAATGCAACGGCAACAGGAAGTTGCAAACAGCCTGCGTTCGCGCTCTTGCGAATTTTTGGGGAAGCCTTCGATTGTCAACTTGTGCATAATATGCTACCAAGCTGGCCCCTCGCGCGCGCATGTCGAAATCATTCGGACCCCTATGCGCGCGGTGGGTGGGTACGATCACTTTCAAATAATACCATGCGGGCCACTCGCGCACGTTGACCGCTCGCGCATGTCGAGTTTCTTCGAAGACCTTGGTCACTTACGCGAGGACACCGTCATCGTCATCGGCGTGATCAGCATCGGCGCCGTCATTGCCCTTGCTGTCATCATCGTGTCTGCCGTTGTCGACGTCGCCATGATACCGCGCCCGCCCGAGCGACCGACTCGCACTGATTTGCCCGCGCGTCAGCGCGGCCTGCGAGACGCGCTGAGAAATGCCTGGCGGTCAGCGCCACCGCGGCCGCGCCGGTCGCGCCAGACTAGCTGGCCGCTCTGCGCGCGAGCCTGCGCGCGCTAGCGCGGCCGCAGCGATGTGCCAGCCAGCGCCAAGCAGCCATCGCAACCGCCGCCGCATGGTTTTGCAAACCAACTGGGTGGGAGGGACGATTGGGCGAGCAGTAGAGTTTACAATCCACTGATGAGCACCAGTCACTTGCACCGCATATATTGTTTCACATAGATTGTGTCACAGATTTTGCACATCACCTGTGGTATACATTGCACCGCGTCTATGGCCCCACATCAATAGCTTCACGTGGACTGCACAAGTTGCACCACGCATATTGCACAACGTATACTACGCAGATTCGATTGCACAACATAAGCGGCAACACGTACATTGCACCGCGTAGATTGTTCCACAGGTAGCACCACATAGGCTGCCAGAAACATTGTTTGGGGTCCTCGCTGGCGAAGATGATTCTGGCAGACGTGGCGCGAATTTAGTGTCATTCGCAAAATGGGGTGTGGCCTTGGGAACGTGATTCTGGCGTAATTTATGATATTACCTCTTGGGTGTGTGTGTCACGTATTTGTACGTGCCCCAGACCCACCTTAGACATTCAGGCAACGCGCTTCGGGGACAGTCGCCCCTTTTTGTTCGTCCCCCCCCTCCTCGCGCGGACAGTAGCGAATTACAATAGGAAGCAACATATGTACATATATAGATTATATATATATATTATATGTATCATATGATATAGTATAATTCTAGCACTAGCTATTGGCAGCAGGTACTACAGCAGGACAGCAGGTTGTAGGAAATCTTCGGGCACACAGCGCGATGGCCCCACAAGGGGGCTGGCGGATAGTTTGGCCTAGTTCCAGATGGGTTCGTTTGAAGTTTGCGGCCTCTTCGCTGAAAGTCCTAGAGACCTTCCCCATCCTATCGTTGGCATTTCCACGTTCCCGCACCTGCCCATCCTTGATGGTCGCAATGCAAGGTCCAGCGGAAGACCGCCACGCAGCTG